AAAAATATCATCTATCTTTTCCAATCGATATAGTATATACATACATACATACATACATGTATATATATATGTGTGTGTGTGTATACTCTATCTTGATCTTAAATCAAATATCAAAGTTCATACAATCGTCATAAAATCATCTGAACGATTTAAAAGGGTCATTATTAAATGCTCGAAACTAAAGACCGAGTTCAATTCGATAAACCTAATAAATTCTTGTCATTTAATATCAATTCGATAAAATCGCAAGATTTTTTTTTTCCTTTTTAAAATTAAACCTTCTAAATAGAAAGTGTTTGAATATGATAACGTCATAGACGATCCTCGATCCATTGGTGCTATTTTTTATAAAGCACCGTTCGAAATATATAACACGATATCCATTTAACCTCAAGCGAAGGGTAAACGAAACGAAAGGCAGATATGGAACGCACGAACGTAAAGTCCAATTATCCGATCGAAATCTATCCGAGTTCCATGGAGGAATTAAAATCCACGGGGTACCGACACAAATACCTTAACATGGCCAGCCAACCAATCGATACCACCAAGCCGGAACGTAAGAACCTTTCGAAATCGGAAGTAAGTAGTAGTGGTCGATCGTAGTCGGCCTTGCCAACCTCGTTCACAGCCTCCGGAGAAGTAAAGTAGCCTAAGAACGTTTGAACCGTTCAAGAATTTCTTTCCGAGCGAGTGCTCCGTGGAAAACTACGGGTGATCGAGCGAGCATGCGATCGAACGACCGTACTCGACTACTTCGAACTTTCCCTGAAAGTGACGCGGCGTTAAGTAACGGCACTCTAATACCAACGCTATTTCATTTGGCTCTGTACTAGTAAAACCGTTGCTTAGTTTCACAAATAATACTATCAATATTTATTAACTATTTGTACTCTTTATTTTTACTTATTCATTAAGAATTTTCTTATTGTTTTAAGTGTTTTTTTTTTTTAATCGAAGAAAAAAATATATATGTATATTGTTTCATATAGTTTAGTATAATGAAGATATTGAATTGATCCAGAAATTGTTCTAGTTTTGGTCAATAGTTAATGTCGTTTTAAATGTAAACGCTTTCTTTCATTTTAACAAATTCATACATAACCTAAAAGCTTGTCTATTACTAGGTCTTATAGAGGAAAATAAAAGGAAAAAAGTATTAAAATTAATAGAATTTATCGTTTGTTATGAAGAGTTAAAAATAGAGAATAAAAAGAGATATTCTCTTCCTGTTTCTTTGACAACACATAAAAAATTTTTGAACTTAGATGAGATGTATTACCTCATCCGCCATATTCGCCAAATATTGTATCATCCAATTATCATTTATTCCAATTCCAATTTAATGAAATTTCTTTAAAAGAAAAAAATACATTATATAATGTAGTTTTAATTATGAACATAAAATTTGTATTTAAATTTCCTTAAAAAAAAAAAAAATAAAATAAAATAAAATAAAAAATCTTTTGATTAATCCAATATGACATTTTTTAATAAATAATTGTTACAAAATGTCACCATAAAAAATGTCAAGTTACGTTTGACATAGAAGTTCGAAAAAAGTTAATAAATTACTATTACTAATAATTGGTATTAATAATAATTTAATTATTTATTTCCCTTCGATGTACCCAATAGATTGATAAATACTGAAAATAATTATTTTTGATAGTTTATGTATTGTTACAACTAAAATATTTTATTGTTAATATATAATGAAAGACGTTTAAGTTGATCTATCCCATAATAATAAAAGCAAAGATCTATCACAAAAACATATTTCCCAACAAGCTCGATTATGACATCCGTGGACTTTAATAATATTTAGCAATATAAGTTGTCGTAATTAAAATACATCGATTCTTTTAATTCATGAGAGAACGTATATGCTAAATGAATATAAATTTTCCTTGTAAATTATTAAAATTTCGTGTTGAATAATACTAATATGACAATTATGAGAATAACGAACAAAGACAAAAAAAGAAAATAAAAATATAAAAATAGAAAGAAAGAGAGAGAAAGAAACAAAGAATTATATTTTTAAATTTACCGTGAAAATCGAGGACAGTATAGTTGTAAATAAAAAATATATCTTCGTTATAATAGACGTCCTCCTTTATCTTTTATATATTATAGCAGACAAACGATGTAAGAAATAAGGGAAAATTAATATAAAAAAAAAAAAAAAACAAAAGAAAATTAAAATAAAAAGAAAAATAAAGAAGATAAAACAAAAACATGAGAAATAAATTAAATTAAAACCGTCCATGTCTCGAGGACACATTTTATCGTTTAAGGGAGAGACGTAACGAAAATTGATTCTACACGCATTCGGGTAAGCGAATACGAGAAATCGTTATTATGGTACTTCGCTATAATTAAAACTTCCGGTGGCGAGTTTACCCTGCTTCGCGGTCACCTTTAATGTTCTCGATGAAGTAACAACAATACAATCTCGCGTACGCGTCACCTACTTGTTTCTCAACCTAGCAAAATGGCAACGTAAGCATTAGATTCGGTAACTTTATATAGGCTGCATTGTAATCAGAGCTATAACGCGTGCAACCTACGTATGAATATTATATTCATACACACACCTATAATGTCTATAAACGCAAATGATTTTCTGTCTATACCACACAAACGCATGCAAATATCATTCATAATTTAATTTCAATAAGAAACACTTTATAAGCATTCTAAAGAGCTTAATTTCTTTTGTTTTTTTTTCTTTTTTTTGGTTGTATCAATAATCTAATAATTTAAATAATAATATCTCATATCTCGTGTATAATTATATAGAAAATGTTGAAATTCAAAATTACATATTTTATTTATTTATAAATTTGCCTATTACGACGTATGTATATTGGACCGAGCATATTCAATAAAAACATTATAGTTAATATATAGAAAGTAAAAAATCTACGATTAGATATCGTAGTATACGTTAGTAAACGATTCACAACGAGGAAATTAATCAGGTTCATCCGGTAGCCAATAGTGCTTGTTCATGAAACATAATGCTTGTTCTCCTCTCCGATTATGCATCGCTCGACGTAATCGCCACTAGTGGAAATTCTCGATCGTACGAAAAGAAAGAAGGAAAGAAAAAATTTTCCCCTTCAAGATGAATCTTCAGAATGATCAAGGAAACGTATTTTCGGGATAAAATTTGGAAAATAAATTTTAAGTAGATTTTCAGAATTTTTAGTGAGTAGAAAATCTGTAACGACGAGTTTGAAATATTTACGAGGACACATTAAACGTTTTCGTTTACCATCGATTACGTGAATGTCTTTCCGAATAGAGTATATATTATAGTTGAGAGTCACGTTTATCAAGGAGAACACGATCGATGCCCTGGAAAACGATTTATTTTGGTTTAGGATAGAGATCCTCCAATTCTTTTGAACTTTCTTCCATTGTTTCCGTATATTAATAAAGTTTGATTATATGAAGAAACAAATTAATGATTCAATTTTTTATATCCTTCGTAGAATAAAAATCTATTAATCTTAATTATGCAAACCATAAAATAATTTCTAATTATGCACTTGAGGTATGCTACAGATACTTTGAACAGTTATCATTTATACAGAATGAATAATTTTTACACGAAAAAAATTCTGTATATTCTTTGAAGCCTCGGAAATAATAGTCATTAGATTTGAAAATACATTTCCAATATTGATATTATAAAAAAAAAATTCATGAATCATGCAATGCGGAGAAATTAACTTCTTTTGTTAAAAACCGAATACCTTTTTTAATTTTCAATATTTCGAAAAAAAATCTAATTGCATAATTATCTTAAAAACAGTCTCTTTCAGAAAAAAGAAAAGTACTGAAATGGTCGTTACAAAAAGTATAATTATTTTCAAGTCCAAATATAGTTTCATTTGAGAAAAAAAAAATATACAATTATTCCATCAATCTCCATTATTTTCTGTTTTTTTTCCCATTCATTTCATTGAAATATCCATACATATAAATTCCTATCTCCTACAAAAAAAAAAAAAAAACTATAAAAATACAAAATTACAATAAAAAAATAATTAAATATTTACTCATGACCGAAAAACTCTACGAATAAGCCAACGCGGTTTTTATCGCAAATTGGGCGTTTACATGAGAAACATCCAATTATAGTTTTCCTATCATTCGAATATGAACAAATCATACATCGGCATTGCTTTTTATATACAATTCATTTGCAAGTATCAAGTCCGATTTGCTCTTAATTCTTAATTTTAAATAATTTCGAAGTAATGACATATTGAAATGCACTAATAAATAATCCTTACAAAGATGCTTATAGAGTTCTTTCAGATAAAATTGCAGAGAGATTGAAGAAAAGAATATTTCTAGCAGCATTTTTACATTTCAATAATATTCTGGCATTTATAACAGCCATATCCAATATTCTGAAGAAAATTCTTATAAATGATTAATTTTTCTATTAACAGTGAATAAATGGCATGACTGATCAAAAGAATCGACTCCTTTATTTTTATTATAGTACCGTATAATAGCGAATTTTCTATTTTCATTGATAGCATTTGATTTTAAGTATGAACGAGACATAAGATTAGAAAATAATTTCTATCACACTTGTATAGAGGATCATATTATTTAGGGTATGAATGGATTAAAAATTTTCGATAATAAAGAATCAAAAATTAATGCTAAAATAACTTATAATGCACATGGGATGTGGCAAAACTCAGATTTTACAAACTTCAACTTTACTCGATCATAACTCAGCGACTGACATAACACAGACTATTCTGACAGTTGGCATATAAAGATACATATCTCAACAACAGATAAATGACGGCACAAGTCCTATTTATAAGCATTTATTTGTTTTAAATTAAGCTTAAAATTGATCTGTGGTGTCCTACATCCCAAGTGCGCTATTAAAATTAAAAAGCTATTGAGAAACTTATAATATAATATAGATGTAAATGAAAAAAAAAAAAAAAATAATTTACCTTATCGCAACGAAGCCATAAAATAATTGAATTAGGATAACGCAAGGGACCACCCAATCCTGAACCACCAGCCAATCGTTGTGTTTTTAAAATCTCACTATGCGTAATTCCGTACTCCTCGAAGACTTCCAAAGATCTGTAAAAAATTATAAACGGATATGTAAGACACGAATAAAAAGAGGAGTGAGGTGCAAAAGAAAAAATAAGAAAATTTATTTATTCTCTTATAAAAAGTACGATTGCTCAGATGCAAGATTTAATAAATATCTTTAAGTAAGAAATTCATATATAAAAAAAAAAAAAAGAAAAAAAAAAGAAAGAAAAAAGAAAGCAAATTCATTTCTCAAAAGAAAAAAATAATTTTATACAAGTATAAGATCTAATTTCGACGTTCGAAATGGTGAACTATTTTCCGTTTCGTGTTTAATAAAAGATAAGCATTCGAAGTGGGAGCTGACGGTGCCACTTTAGCCAAAATTAGCGGCTCTGTCCTTCCGTGACCTGGCTACCTAGATCATACATCGCCTAATTTCACTCTTGGACGACAAGTTATATGTTTCAACAATGTATTCCTTATCGTTGGTGGTCTCAAACATCGACTTTTTTTTTTTAACAATTCAAAATGCAGACTATTGACATTTAAAAAAAGAAAAAGAAAAACAGAAAAAAAAAAATCAAAAGGAGAGAATCCATTTAACGATCCAACACATGAAATGAAACGAGGTAAACGACCGACCAACGTCAATCCACCTAAATTTATTGGCCTAGGTTATAGAGACTTCCTTCGCTTTGGAAATCTTACTTCTCTGACATCATCGATAATACCAACCGCTCTTTCTCTCGTCTCACATTTTATTCTCGTTTCTCTCTTCAAGTAAGATACTCGGTAAAAACGAGTTGTTCCTCGTTGTTTCTCTCCGATCAGAACTTTTCGAGTTTGTTTTTCTTACATGATACTATTTTGAATTTAGGATTTTCGAGAAGTAAGCGAAGAAGATTCCAAGAGTCAACTACTCTGTAAGTCTTACCCAATCGAGTATTCCGTATTAAGATTTTGACAACGAAATAAAACTTTAACGTCTGATATTAATAAGGTTTAAAAAGGAGTTATGAGAAATAAAGAAAAGAAAATTATTTGGACGTGCAGCTGCTAAAAATTGAGTTCAGCTGAATTCGATCGATCGAATGAAAGAGAGAGAGAGAGAGAGAGAGAGAGAGAGAGAGAGAGAGAGAGAGAGAGAGAGACAGAAAGAGAAAGAGAGAGAGAGAAAGAGAGAGATTTCAACGTATAAGAGAACTCTCTTTCTTGGACTCTCGTTCGTTCCCATGGACATTGGAAAGAAAGTCTTCCGCTTCGAGTTAAAAATTCGAAGGTTGTCGGAGAGGCTGAGATCAAGTCGTCCTCGTTTCCAGCTGTCGTCAAAAGTCGACTCCTTGGGAATCACCTCCTTGAGAGTCGTCGTGCGAGTTTGTTGCTGTCGTTTGCTTTCCGATCGACATCAACGAAATCCGATCAGCTGCTGGAATTCGCCGAGCGACGAGAAAAAAGGAATTACACTTTTGGAATTTTTCGAAAGCGTTTCTTCGATCACGCGCTGCCCGAATCTTTGCATGTTTCTTTTGGACTGTTTTGAAGACGTTTCCTATTTCTTTTTAATTAATTAATTTATTTATTTATTTTCTTTTCTCTTTCTATAATTCTTATTTGAAGAAATATTTCTAATCGGAATTAGACAATTAATGAATTTAACGTATATTAGAAGCTGTTGAACGATCGATAATTCATTCGTTTTCAAACACTCTTTGATATCCATAAATGGAAAAGCTATCTTTTACAGAGATATCTTCATTTATAGACAACCCGATATTTCATTCTATTTTAGGAAATTACTCATCATGATAATTCGAATATTTATCAACTAAATTGTAAGTATTATTTCTCTTCCGGATCGAAAACATTTTTCTTGTACGAAGAAAAAAAAAAAAAAGAAAAAGACAGGAAAAAGAATAAAAAAGAATAAGGAAAAAAGTTCATAAGATTACTTACAAAAGACCTTTTTCTTATTAATTTACCGCATCTCTAAATTATTTATCAACGACTCGAATTAAATATATTAATCCGAATTAATCCTTTAAACGTATCTATATATCCCGAATATAATCGATTATAAAAATTAAAAAAAAAAAAAAAATAAATAAATAAATAAATAAATAAATAAATAAATAAATAATAATATAGAAAAGCGTATAGTTCGGCAAACACGCGCCTTCGTTCAAAAACGTCCTCGTTCAGACGGTTCTAGATTAATTAAACGCTGACTCTTGTGAAATGGCGAGCAGAGATACCGGTATCGCTCAACGCGAACTCTTCGAAGGCGACTTTTATCGTCGATGCTGACCCATATCGATATCGCGGGGTCCTCGTTTCGTTCGTTCTTTCTCTCCTTCGAGCTACAAGTCGTCCAACAACGTTGTTGTGTAATATCTCTCTCTCTCTCTCTCTTTCTCTTTCTCTCTCTCTTTCTCTCTCTCTCTCTCTCTCTCTCTCTCTCTCTCTCTCTCTCTCTCTCTCTCTCTCTCTCTCTGTCTCTCTCGGTGGCTGTGTAATCGGTAGGAATTGGAAAAGGCGCGAGGTGGGAGGGCTATGCCAAGTGAATGGAAAAGTCGACTTTCTCTCGGACAACTTAATCCACAGGATACACCTTTTAACGTATTCCTCCCACGATAGTCCTACTCCTGATTTTCTAAAAACAACTATGAAAGGGATTCCTGTTTCGGTAAATTTGCCATTCGACGCGTTGAACGCATCCTTTTTGGTCTTTTTCTATCGTTCTTTTTTTTTTGTTCTTTTCTTTTTTACACCATCTATAGCTAATTCCAAATTTATCATTTATCAGCCTTCTCTCTTAGATATTTCTTCTCGGATAAAATTCGTCGACCGGTTGCTTCAACTTTTTCCACGTTTCCTTTCTCTTTTTTCTTTTTTCTTAAAAAAAAAAAAAAAAAAAAAAAAAAAAAAAAAAAAATATTCGCAACATTTATTCACCAATATCTAAATTATAAAGTATAATAAGTATGTAGTATCAAAATGTAAATGTTAAAAATATATTCTTTCAAATAAATCTATACATATATATACGGATCAACAATATCTTTTCGTTTAATTTTCAACTCTTGTATTATAAATATATCAATAAATTCTTTTATTTAAAATATCAAATGAAATAGATAAGAATATCGTATAAAATATATAATATAATATTAATTATAATTTAAATTATCAAAATAAATGAAGAATATTAGAAGACAAACTCAGTAATTAACTGATGAGAACTGTGCGCACATCTCCGTTATAAGAAAGTGGGTATGCGACCAGCATACCAACCACGGTTGGTACTATTATTGGAGTGCGGGTGGAATTACGTTACCCTTGTCTTTTATTAGCCAACCGCACGGTCGCTCCACCAACGAGGAAGCTGACGAAGACAACCAAGTCGATTCTCTCTCCCTCGGTGTTCGATTTTCTTCCCACAATTCTGGCTCCCGTAGGATGACTAACGTCTGCCAGTTTCTTTGGCATCAATCCAGGATCACTCCGAGGGATAGATAGATTTTAGCCACGACGCTTTCCCGTCTTGTCTCAACCTTGGCCAAGCAGGTACTCCTGTCATTGCCACGTGGAGTCTGCCCCTTTTGAGAGGCCACTGCTCTTTCCTAGTTTCTTTTGTCGAAGTGTATGCGATTTTCTTGTCGCGATAGCAAATGCTAACGATGTAGCCTTTAAAAACCCTCGGGACAACACCCATTTCTACCTTTCTATCTTGTTTTATTATTTATCTTTCTTTTTTATTTTTTCATAAATTATTATATATTACGAGTAGTTTGACTCAAACACACGTGGGAGTTACTCAAAGGAAGAGATAATAATATATTTCTATAAAAATCAAACTTTTAAATTTCATTTCATGAAATTGAATACAAAAATATAATCCTTTTAGTGATAATGATAATAATCAATTTTTTTCTTCTTATTTACGACGATAAATTTATTCTGATTGTCTCGTTAGGTTTATTCATAATCAATTTTAAATATCAGTTTTATTTCTTTCCTGTAAATAGTATCTTGATTTATCTATTTGTAAATTAATTAAATGAATAATACAAACACAATAATAATTTAATGTTAGACCCTAGTATTAGTGGCCGCGAATCATTCGACAATGAAAGAGTAACAAGGAAACGAATAGAGTTCGTCTTGAGCACTCGATAAATTACCTAGACTTTATATTTTTAGAAAATGCCATCCTAACTATCACAGAACGGTAAAAATAGATAGCAGTACTTCTAGCGAAACGGCACTCGCTGGCCAGAGAAACTGGATCGTCGTCTGTTCGTAATAACGTGTCGAAATTATATGCTACAACTGTATGCTACGAAATCGTTTCATAAATTGCATCAATTTGCATAAATTAATTATTCTATACTGTAAATAAAATATTTACTAATATAATTGAGCCGTTCACTAGCAAAATCGATTAACTCCACATTTTGAATATTTTTTTAAATTTAAATGTCAATTTAAATTTAACTTAATGGAGTTTTCATTTTTTATATTCATAATAATAAATTTTTTTAATTTTCATTATTTAATACTCAAGGTGCGAATATAAAAATTGAATTTTTATTGACCATTCTACGCCGTATGTTCTTGTAATATTCTAAGAGATCATAGTCACTCTAAAAATATATTTATTACTTCTTTTCTTTTTGCTCAAAATATTAATATTAATAAAATGTTTTTGGTCATTCAATAAAAAATAATTTTTTTCAGAAGCCAATCTGATTAACTCATACATATATGTGATAAATGATATAATGATAAATTTATATATATATATAATGACAAAAATATACGTATATAATAAAATCAAGGAACGATCTATGAAGAAATCATAAATTGCTGAAAAGGAAAATATAAAATTTACTCCATTGATTGAAACGATTAAAGCTCTTTTGCTTCTGCTTTATATAAATTTCGACTTAATGAAGAACTTTGTAAAAGCTATTGATAAAAATGATCAGGCCTTTAATCATTTGACATAAAATATTTCTCAGGTTAAATGAAAGAGAGCTAAA